AGGAAAAAGTCTTTTCCTTCGGCTTCAACTTGGACAAAAGCCTCAGCACTCTCTCATCTCAGTCGCTGCCTAAACATCTGGAGGGTTTTTCTTTTCTTAATGCCAAATTATAAACAAATGCAGCTTTTCCACGGGTAATATTGCGAAAGAAGTAAAAAATATTTACTCAGCAGTTCCAATGCTTATCTAGCTAATAAAAATCCTAAGCTAATCTTCTAAGATGTCGAGAACTTGAAGGGGCTGAAACCACCCCGTGTTACTTGGTTGAGAAGTACCTGAATTGCTCTCAGCAGATATGAGATTGCCATCACACATCAAACCAAAAGCGTGCCCAGGCAATCTGTCTTCACCCTGACAGGGCTTAGATAAGTCTCCCACGACTTGCTGCCGAGTAATACCGGCGTGATAAACGAACTCCGTTAATCACAGCCGTCTTGTTCCGACGCCATCTTGGAATCACGAAAGAAGGATCTGATACACTCAACCATGTCCAGTTGGATTATTAAAATTCCTGGGTGTTTTCTTTACCATGACAGGCATACTTGCCTCAAAGTAATAAAAGAATATTTCATGCTCATATAATGGAAAAAGGGGTAGCTTTCTACATGGAGTATAGTTATGATGCTATATACAACATTTTTAAAAACAGGACTTCTCAAGCATTCCGGAGCTAGTTTCACACACCAGGTAAAATTATACTAGGTAATGTGAATATATGCAATACGCCTAAAGTAAAGTCTTAAAGAATATGAAGACAATGCATGGTGAAGGAGCACCTCTCTGGTCCTCCCACCCCTGCCAAACATTGAGATAGGCACTGTCCACATGGGACACCTCAGAGCAGGAGGCAAGGAGACTGAGGCCTCATCAGGATAACTTGTATCTTGTTTAGTCTCTGTCTCTCCACTCCTGGCCTCCCAGAATGCCCCCAAAAGGCTTTTCTCTCATGTAGTTCTTCCTATGCTGGCTGCAGTGGGGAAAGGGGGAATCAGAGCTCCAATCAGCAGTTAAAAGGTCAGAGTGATCTTCCAACCTTGTAGTTAGAACAACTAATAGCCAGAGGATTTCTCTGTAAAAATAGTTTGCAAAATTTGTATGTCAAAGATTATTTTAACATCACAAATAGGAACCAGGAAGTACCTTGACAACCTCATCTGACACAACAATCATAAAATAGCAATGGATGTAGATATGTTATTCAAAGAAATAACTGGATTATTTCCAAGTACAAAATGTTGCAATATTGCAACAAAAGTTCTGCTTAGAAGAAAGATGCCTGGATACTTCATTGCTATTTACTGCACTCAGGTAAAGCTCAGATGGCAAAAAGGTTACTATGATGGCAAAAATACAGAGAATCTTCTCAGTGTTATCTCTCCAGCTATGGATGCTTTCTCTAAAAAGACCTGTCTGGCATCAACATTGTCACATTTTCTATGTCAAATTAGTATTTTCCTCTATTCCTGTACATATAATAGGCTATTTAATATATCATTTGAATAGTTTGTGGTTGTCACTGATTTTAAATTGTTTTACAGGATTTTATGGGTTGCTGTATTTTAATGAAAAATTGTTGTTTTCAATTTTATTTATTTTAATTCTATTGTAAATTGCCTTGAGTCTTACTTTTTTTTAGAAATGCATCTTAATGATCATCTTCATCACCAAATCTTACAAGTCATTAAGAGTGTCCCAAGGGTGCTGGGAGTTGTAGGCCTTTTTTCTGTCTAAACAGAACCTTGCACCTTAAAATATTCAGTTCCATGGTGGATTTTACTGGTCTAATTAAAGTATATAAGTATAACAAGAACAATATCCTTCTTGTTGACTTCAACCTAAAGGATATTCAACTGCTAGGGATATGAATGGCTTGGTGAGTTAGTAAACAGTAAATAGTTATTTATTGACCACCTGCTCTTTCCTGATTTAAACAGAATAAAACAGTTATATGATGTACTGATAATTTTCCTTCTGAGAAAATATGGTCATGATTCAGTCAAAACTAATAACTATTAATTCTAGAATGGTTGGTTCCAAAACAGTTGTCTATTTCATAATCAGTAATGTGAGTCTTCAAAGTTTACATCTTCAAAAATCAGATCACCCTCCCATATTTCTATATTGGATGTATTCATGCAACATGCTAGGTCATGTGGGACGGGATGCCTGCACAACTCAGAATACCCTTGAAAGATGATTGGTTTTGCCATGGTTTGTTCTCCCTTTCATTACCCCTCAGCCTCCCTCCTGGATCCACCACATATCCTAGGCTTTTTGCAGCAGAACTCCTCTTTGCCCCATCCCTACATCAGCACTCTTTCTGTAATTGGTCTTCAGAAGCTGCCTTCTTCTGAGGGAAACTCCATCAGCTGACCAAATGGAATCACTTTTGTAAGCCTTTATGAATGCAGTAATTTGTCAACTGTTGCTGTTTTACAAGTCCTTCTCTCTGATATTGTCACATATCTCCACATACAGTGGTACCTTGGCTCACGAACTTAATCTGTTCCAGGACTCTGGTTGTGACCCAAATCGGTCGTGAGCCAAGTTAAATTTCCCCATAAGGTTCAATGTAAATAAGGTTAATCCATTCTGTAACTATTTTTTTAAATCAGAAAAATGTGAAGCAAAGTGACAAAGAACAACAATGATCGTGGCCATCTCCCCCACCCCACCCCACCCCAAGCATGAGCGCAGCCATCTCCCAGCATAACTGCGCCTGCCATCCTGGAGCGCTGGGGGGGAGAGACGGGTGTGATTGTGGGCGCACTACGGGGAGATGGCCGAGATCGCAGTTGCGCTCCTGCAGAACAGACAGGTGCAATCACGGGCGTGCTCCTGCAGGAAAGACGGGCGCAATCTCGGCCATCTCCCCCCTGTCCCCTGCATGATCATGGCCATCTCCCCACTTGGGGGGGGGGAGATGACCACAATCACGGTCACCACCCAATGCAGAGTTTGTGACCTGAGTCAAAATTTTTATGAAATTTTTGCTCGCGACCCGATTTGGTCGTGAACTATGTTCACGAGCCGAGATACCACTGTACCTTTCTTCCACTTCAGTACAATCCAATGCTTATTCAAAATTAAATATAGTCACTCTCAAAGTAAGAGAACCTGCTGACAAAGCACCTTTCCTCAAGCCTCTCTCTTCCTGTTTGTGGCTTCCTTCCATTTCTAGCTGTCACACCTTGACTGGGATTATAGATCAGTGAATGGGATCGGGAAACATAAACAAATGCCATGGCATAGCAATAACATGGAGGGGAAGTTTGTAGAAATGTAAAGGCAAGTGTCAGATGAAAAATACTGAGTAAGTCTTCCAGAAGCACAAGCAGGAACACATGGAACAACAGGGGCTTTTGCCACACCAGCCAAAGCAGCTCTTTGGATTATCTTGCCAATCCTCAATAAACATTTCCCTGTTGGTTTTGGGTGACAGAACAAGCCACGGTTAGAATATCCCTAAAACAAACCATGGGCTCTTAGGAAGAATATGTCACCCTGCAGAAAGCATAATGGGTTTGCATGGCACAACAACCCACCATGGCTGATCATTCAGGGAGGTTTTGCATGTTGTGAGAACCAGGTCACTGCCTGCTCCAGTTATAAGCATCATTACCAACATTTGTTACTCAGAGCAGCACAGAATAAAAGAGATATAGAGGGAGATCTAAAAGAAAAATATAGCTAAAATATTTTTGTGTTTAAGGACATGCATTTCTGACTCACAGGAATGCCATTTAAATTTTGTTCTTCATAGCATGTGAACAAGATGTTATAACAGTTAGATGGATGAAGCAGGGGGGAATGCCTGATGAAACTTAACTTTTACTCCCCTGTATGATGGCAAGCCATCTGAGAAACGTATGGAAATATTTCAAACCAGGGCAGCTGGATTCCCAACTCCTCTTTTCTTATAACAGCTAATATCTGTTTCAGATTTATAAAATACATTTATTTTCTCTATTCAATTTATTGCAATATATTAAATGAATGACTAATAGATTTATTTATTGATTTATTTATTTATCGATTTATATCCTTTTTTCCTACAAAGGGCTCAAGGCAGCTTACATCATTCTCCTCCTCCATATTATCCCCACAACAACAACCATATGAGGTAGGTTGGGCTGAGAGTCTGTGACTTGCCCAAAGTCACCCAGTTGGCTCCATGGCTGAGTGGGGACTAGAACCCAGGTCGTCTGAGTCCCAATCCCATGCTCTTAACCACTGCACCACACTGGCTCTTTCACACAAGATGTATAGTGTGTGTGTGCATGCATGCATGTGTATGTTTAAGAGATAAAGCATTTGAGTGGGAGACAAAGAGTATGGTGTTGGTCTCTTCCTGTCCATGAGTGGAATCTGTTATTTACCGACTGTTCTTCACAGCTCCATTTGATCACTGACACTGACAAGCTCATTCACAAGGCAAGACTCCACATAACAGCAAGTTGGAAAGTTACATGCACAACTGTGACAAAGTGACCAGAAAAAAATCTAAACAGAATTATGAATACATTGGCATACATTTCTGGTGCTGAAAAAGAGGTGGCAAAACAGTGACAGCCACCCCAATGTGTCACTTGGGCACTTTGAAGGAGCTGCTAGTGGTGGCATGGACAAGCCACCAAGGGTTTTTGCTGTTTATGCTAAGTGTTTCACTTGCTACTTCCCACCATCTAATATGGGGTTCAAACGATATATATATAAAATCAAAAGCAACCCTGTTCATGTCCACCATAGAAAGAGGAGGGTTGAAGGGTCTCCTTCTATTTTATTTTTTTTCACTCAAAATGTCCCCGCATCTGCTCTTTACAGATGGTGGGGTTTCGGGGATAACTATTTGGAGATTTTGTTAACTAAAAACAAAGAATGTTTCAAAGAAAAGAAACCTATGGTGATTTGTAGCATGTAATTTGACATTGATATATATGACCTGTACATGCTGTATTATACAGCTTACTCTAACTAGGAATTTTAAAGAGAGAACTTACATTGCTTTCCTTTTTCTCGTTGTGGAGAGAAGCAGACCCTGGTTGTATTACCGTTTTCAGTTTTGTTTTGGAACTGGGAACAGGCAAGAAACTCAGGCCAAGAAGAATTCACCATCCCAAGAACTGGTTCACATCCTTCCTTTGCAGCCTCACAAAATGATCTACAGGGCAGGAGTCCATGACTGAAAATAAAAACAAGCACCAAAGATGACTGCCCTCTTAGTATATAAAACTATTTGACTTGCCTTTTTTAATCAAGGGCACAAATCAGGTGATGAGGGGAGTGCCTATTTTTTTCTATGCCATCCAATTTTATTTCACAAAATGTGCATGACCCAATACAAAGCCTACAGCTGGAATAAACTGTATATTAAAATGATATACTGAATAGTAAATAGGGGGTTTTAATTGTATAATTCAAAGCTAAATTGGTATTGTTCATAATAATGCACTTATTATCATTGAGTGTAAACTTGCAAAAGAACAACAAAATTAAAAATAGTGTGCAAATTAGGGCTCCCCAATAATTTCGAAATAGATTTGCAACCACAAACACCTCCCCACAACAGATGCTACTTGGGTATTTTGAAGGATCTGTCAGCAGCTATCAAAACAAGATTGCAAAAGCTGGCAGTCAAATCAGAATTTGAGATCTCCAGGAAAAAAGTAAGGGGGTAAAGTGAGCCAAAAATGGCTTGTGAATATAAAAGAAGCAGGCCAGTGATAGTTATCCAAGTGCCACTTATGGAGGGGTTGTTACTGATAGACAGCTTATTACTGGTGGAGGTCCTGACAAAGGTGACAAGGGGGTTTTGTTACTCATACCAATTGGTTTATTCATGGGGACAGTCACCTGTGTTCAGACAACATGCCAATTCATCATGGATGAAATGGGATGGTATAACTTAATGTCCTGCAATAGCAGAGGGTTGGACCTGATGGCCTTCTGGCCCCATCCAATTCTATGATTCTAAAAAACAACCCCAGGTATAAGTCATGGCTTGTCAGGGTGGCTTATAACTCAGAAACAAGCCATTCCAGAGAAAGGGGTCTGGGTACACATGACATGCTACAAGGCATGTCATATTAATCCTTTTTTTAAAAAAAATCCATATAATAATTCTGATTTGATGTTTGCTTATTTAGTTAGTTAAAAGAAAGAAAGAAACTCAAGACAAGCCCTTGTGTCAGGAAAAAAAAGGAGGAGGAATGTTAGCCATTCCCCGTATGAGCAGTTTTCTAGCAGAAAATAGCAATCCTCTTTTTAAAAACATAGAGAGAAATAACCCCTTTTTGTCTTTTTCATTTCCCTTAAGAAGTTTCTAAGTTCTGCCCTGGAGCTGCACATTGGCAGATCCCCAAATATTCTGCGTTTCCTCACTTTCCCAAAATAAAATTCCTTCACAAACAGGAAAATAGTTCTTGGGTGACCCGTTCCAAGGAGGTGTTACAGGCTGAGATAACAGACCTTTAAATAAAAGCATGCAGGCAACACCATAAGAATACCAATAGTTGACAGCTCTTGTCAGTGGCAGAAGTTACAAGCCATCTGAGGTTGGCTTGCTGTAAGCCACAGGCAGAAAACTTTTACATGATGTTTATATGCTTTCCTCAACACATCACAAAGCAGTGGTGAAATATACTATTTTGAAATAGGAGAGTTCTCTTTCCAAGTACCACATAAGCTGCTATTCAGAGATGACTAAAGAGTGTCACGTTTCAAGATATTTCAAGATAAAACCGGGATCTCTTTGATATGTGGTATTTTCATTAGTGTTACTAAAGTGTTTAGTATTATATGAAAAATATTTCAATTACGTAATTCAATTCTATAAATCTTGTATATAATATACAAAATTTGTTTTAAAGTGTTTCTAATCCCCCTTTTTAAAAAATACAAATACAAGAATTACACAAATATACTTAGAAAAAGGCTACAATGATTTAAGTCCAGTTGGTCCTTAAGCTTCATGAAATGAATAGAGGATGATTTATGTCCTCAGTTGTCTCTGTTTCTTACTATAAACTGTTTTTCTGCTGAAAATAAACTTCCCTGCTGGCTCACATAAAATATAACCAAGCTGCAAAGAGAATAAAACCAGCAAAAACAAAGAAACAAAAAACAAACCTCAACACAGTGCTGGAACACCAAGTCTGAGGTAATCAGATAAGAGTTCTCAGGGGAAAGAGTTCCAGAGTCTGAATACAACACTTAAGAAGGCTCAGTTCCACATATCCACCCAATATACACACATTCAAAGCTCAGCCCCATAAAGGAAGGATATATAAGAGACACTTGCCTGACCTCTGAAATAATGTGAATCTCAACACATCGTCATACAATACACGTATTCACAAAAAGGCACAATTTACATTATCATTATTCCAGCCTAGGAAAATGCAATCAATTCTCAAAATGACAGAATTTTCTAAAAGAGGAAATTCACAGAAAACCTCTGAGATACAATAAAAAAATTTTGTTCTAATCCTTTGAGCTTGAATTGAGGGTCTTATCCAATGCAAGCATGAATTTACTTGGCAATGCTACAATTGTTTTATACATTTTTGATATTGTGGATGGTCACTCTGCTTATCTTGCAAACATCTGAGCTTTAACTGAATTGTCACAGGCCACTTGTTGCATTTCTTTGGCACTTACTCCTTGTGTTCACATTTTTCCATCTACAACCATATAAATACCACCCAACAGAGGATACTGAATCATATGATGAAATGGACTCCAGTCCACAACAAAAGTGATTGTAAAAAACTCTGTTCTGGGACTAGATTTGTTGACATTTTTGTAGTAAAATATCAGAACAGTAGCTTTGTTATAGTAAAAAGCATAACCAGAAGAGTTGCACTTCTAGCAGCTCTTGCTGATTGAACCACAAATTGTTTTCCATTCACTGTGAAACAGGATGGGGCACTTTCAAACTCCATGGGTCAGAATACCGAAGTTCCAATGGAAGCAAGAACAGTGTGTTGGGCAGCATTTTCTACTGTGTGGCTTTCAACACAGAGTGCAAGCAAGGGTGTTGGACTTCTGGCCACAGGCCACATACAACCCTCCATTTCCCCCAGATAGCTATTCTCCCTTCCCCTGGCCCCAGCTGCTGATCACCACATTTTTTCTGTTCTAAAAGGCAGAAGCACCTCTCTTCAGACTTAATTACTGGCAATAAAAGCTTTTAAAATATGCTATTATTTTGATACTTTGGTCCCACCCCTTTTCCCTTTAGCTCCACTCACCACTGGAATGTGGCATCTGAAAGCTTCTCCAAAATTAAATTCTGTCCTTGGACTGAAAGAGACTTAAATCTCCTGAATTAGAGACTCACTAATGTACTGAAAATGAAAACAAATCCATGTGGATTTATGAAATAACTTCAGTCTTATGGCAGGATGTTATGAAACGGGAGTTCATTAATTTCATTTCATTTTTAAGGATCTTAACTGGCATTCTGGGGAATGGTTCTTTTGTGGTTTTCTAGATGTGTTTTGTTTCTCTTTTATTAGATGAGCTACTGTTTCAATATTTATTAGATGAGCTAATGTTTCAACATTTATGTTTATACAATGCTGTAGTTAGACCAGCTAAAAGAAAAAGTATGTATAAGTTAGTTCAAGCATAATAATTATAAATGGGAACCTGATACTCTAATATGCTTGCATGAGCTACACAAACAACTTGATAATGACTGAGAAACTATAAAGCTCATAAATGGGAACTGCATGATAATTATATAGGCTGGCACCATTTTTGATCAGGAGGCAACCAAGAAAATGCTGGCTGTAATACCATTTACCAAAGCTCCCTTCCTCTTCATTTGCACCGATTTCCTTTCCTAATTTAAAAAGTTTTACTTTGTGTTCTTACATTTTGTTACTTCTGTTATATTTCTTGTTTAATATTGTAAAGCTCTTTGTTCTCTGGTACCAATCTCTTACTTAGGCCAAGCATTTGTATACAGTTGTATCACTTCTCTGTTGGTATTCATTTTGTTTGGCAAGCCTTTAGCTTTGGAACACATTGCCTCCAGGACTTTATATGATGTGGTCTTCCCACTCTTTAACAGGTGTTTTCATGTGTCTTTTCTAATTAAATATTTTAATTTAGCCTATTTCTCCTTACCTGCCTCCTCATCTGCTTATTTAGTTTGCCAGTGTTTCTCTTCATATTATTGCAACTTTCTTTTCACCCAGTGTTGGCTAGATATAATAATTTAATAGGGAAAACTATTACACAGTAGGCTGCAAAATATGTGTTAAGCACACTGAACAAGGTACATGTATATATGTATTTGCACTAAGTGAGAAATGTTTCCCATGCTTGAAAAACAAACTTGATTTTGCACATCAGCAGGAACTTCTAAGCATAACTATTTCAGCGTGATAGGAATGGAATGCCACTGTCTGTTTGCAATTTCTTCTCTTTAATGGCTGCACGGAGGGGAGAAATTGAATGGGTATAATGTCTCTTGCTGGAATAGTACATTGTTCTATGTAGACTATGAATTCAGGGTGAATCAACACATGGAAAGAGGAAATGGGATTAAAGCAAAGGACTCACATCCTGCATAGCCTCTGTGTTGACATAATCTATATACCAGCTGTATGCAAGATATGGGATCCTGGAGACCCCTAAATTGTCATCTGTTCTATCTAAGGCTATTGATGGAAGGATTGAACTACTCCCTGGCATGCAGCTATTAAAAGTGCAGGAAGTCCCTATGAAACTAGGCAATACCTATTTGAGATAAGAATTCATTTATATTGGAGGTAAAAATTATTATTTGGCAAAGAAGGCAATTTCCCAAGCTTTTAAATAATGCTACATGTCCAATCTTGCCATTGGATTGAATTAGATGTATTATTTATTATTAAGCTCATACCCAAATTTGTTTCCTACAAGAAATCCAAGACAGCTTACATAATCCTTCTCTCCATTTTATCCTCAATTTTTTTAGGTTGAGCACCAGTGATTGGCTAAAAATTAGCCACTTAGCTTCATGTCCAAATGGGGACTAGAACCTGGATCTCCCAAGTGCTACCCCACACAGGCTCTGGAGATTAGAAGCAGTTAACTGTGGCTAGATCAGGCCCAAAAGCCATAGAAAAGTAATTCATATATCTTATTGTGTTTAAACTGTTATAATAACATTAATTAGCTGTTCCTGAAGAATCACACTGCAGTGCATTCCTGACTGCTCACTTAGCTTGACAGACACTTGTTGGTGATAGCTAAGAATGAAAGAGCTGTCTCGGGGGTGTGGGGGGGAGGTTATAAGGCTCCATTGCCACGATTGGGTACGCAATTCTAATCACTGACCAACTTTCGTTCCCAAATACCTGTCAACACCATCACTGATGCACTCAGGAAGAGCAAGGCTACATCCAAACAGCATGATGTGCTGATAGCAGCTGAGGCGGTTGAGATAACTGAAGAACTTGAGAAATTTTTCCATTTCAATGCTTTTGACAATTGAAAGTACTGGTCTTAAAGTCGTGTGGTTATATGGCAGCATTTGGCACTGGTTGTAGGTTATATTTATGCAGGAACCTGTGAAATAAGAACACATTTGTGACATAAAACAGCAACATTACTGTGCTAGAAAGCAAAAATTAGGGAATGTTAGTGACTTTTGGGTCAATGCAGTTTTAATTTTGAGCTTTATAGGAGCTATCCATAGAGTTCAATGCTGAAGAAGCTATTTTGGAGTGGGGCTCAAAGGCACCAATTCACATAACTCCACCTGAGATCTTTCAACATGGAACATTGACATATGGCACTTGATCATGTTGTAAATAATGTAGGCACCGAACTGTGTTCCTTAATGATTGTCCACCAAGCAGAATTTGCATTTGAAGAAAAAATAATAACTACAGCCTTGCAAGCAAAAGAAGGTACCATGCAGATCCCGGCAGAGGGAAGTGTGCTATACTTATATGAAATGTTTTCTTAAAAATTACAAGATTGTTGAAGTCAGAACAATTACAATTTGTTTTTGCTCACCTAGCAAAAAATATGTCTTTTTGCTGAACATGTATTTGTACTTGTCTCCTACTTTTGTCAAATGAATCAGGACAGTTTCTCTCCAGAATTACTTTATCACACCTTCCCATAACAGGCTGTTAGCTAACCTATGGCAGCAAATAGCTAACCTATGGCAGCAAATAAGTATTACTATAAAGTAAAGCTAATATTAATTTCAGTATCATTATGTAGCCTAAAAATTCTTTATTATTCAAAATCCTATTACCTACTTTCCCAGACAAATATTTTCTTCGTAAGTGAATAATTATTTTGTTATTACTCAGACATATGCCTCAACCAAGAGAGTTTACATCTAAGCCAAATAATTTTTATCAACTATTTAAGCCTGAATTAGCTAAAGTCAGTTTAAATGATTAGTAGAAGAAAAGAAATCATTAGGATAAAGAAACTTAGAAAGTTTACCCTGGACAATGGTCTTACCTGAGGGAATAGGAATTTTAAGAATGGTATGTGCATTACATCAGTTGTGAAAGATACAATTAACTGTTTTCTTATTCCCAGTCATTGGCATACTGCACTTTATAACTTATAACTGCTTATACCAGGGGTGGCTAGACTTGCTCAAAGGAAGAACCACATTCAGGAAATGTCAGATGTTTAAGAGCCGTAAGGCATGAAAAAATATTTATTTATTATGACCAAACAGATATTGTGACAATTATCAGACTAGTTACTGCTAGTAGAGGTCTTGTGAGTCTCCACCTTGGCTGTGAGTCATTGAACCTCATTCTTGGCAGGACTCTTCCACCTGCTGACTGGGCTGCTGTCTGAGGCTCAGAGCAGAAGTGACAAGATAGAAGCCTCCCTGTGATTGGTTATCACAGCAGCCGATGCACATGTCTTTCCCCTGATGGTTTTTGTGCTTGCTGGGCCAACTGCTTGATCAGTTGAAGCTCAGAGTTAGGGTCACATGATTGAAGCACCACGAGTGGTTATTCACAGCAAGAGACTTGAACCTCGTCCCCTGCTTTTCTTCCTGCCTGCTCAGTTGCTCAGATTAGAAGTTGCTTCGGGTCTTTTTGGTCCCTCTGCAAGCTGCAAAATAAACTCAAAGAGCCACGTGTGGCCCATGACCCTCAGTTTGGCCATGCCTGGTTTATACACTACTTACATATTAGAACTGGAAGGAAGGAAGGAAGGAAGGAAGGAAGGAAGGAAGGAAGGAAGGAGCAGGTAAATTAGAAAGGGTCCAGCAGAGGGTGACAAAAATGATCCAGGGTTTAGAAACACTGCCCTATGAGAAGAGACTGAGGGTAATGACCATGTTCAGCCTTGAGAAGACTGAGGGGGGACATGGTATCCCTCTATAAGTACCTCAAAGGCTGTCACAAAGAGGAAGGTCAAGATCATTTCTTGCTAATGTCAGAATGTAGGACACGGAATAATCAATTCAAGTTGCAGCAACCTAGATTCAGGCTGGACATCAGGAAGAGCTTCCTCACTCTCAGAGCAATACAACAGTGGAACCAACTGCCTAGAGAAGTGGTGGGCGCTCCCACACTAGAGACATTCAAAAGGAAACTGGAGAGCCATCTGAGTGGGATGGTGTGACTTGACAACGGCAGGGGGTTAGACCGGATGGCCTTCATGGCCCAACCTTTTATTCTATGATTCTAAAGAAGGAGGATGGAAGGTAGGTAGGTAGGTAGGTAGATTTGTTAACCCTGATTTAAAAAAAAATCTAAGCATATCCAGTCTCACTTTTTAAACTCACTTAAATCAAAGCGCTGTCACCACTTCATGCATAAATGGGGCCTGCTTCTGCTGTTCTGATGCTAAACAGATTTGCTTAGGAATAAGCACCATTTTATTCTAGAAAATGGTAACATTTTTATAGTAAGAACAATAATAGGAGTATCTCTAATCATATAGAGGTCTTACTGGGTCAATTAGATTTTTTTTTTTTAAAAAAAGCAGAAATAAAAATAACTGTGATGAGAAACATGGGTCTGAGTCTGCTCCTGCTGGCCTAGGTTTTGAAAATAGACATTTTTACTGTTTTACACTGCCTCCCCCTCTTCAGGTGGTCATATGGGGCTTTGGGCTGAGAGGTCCTGGATTTCAGCCCCAAAGTCCAGTTCTGGCCACACCACTGCTATCTCAGTCTCTTGCATTTTTTTCTCCCAGAGACCTTTGGCTATGGGCAGTATAGAAATGAAATAGTAACAGTAGTAATAATACTAATATGTAAACAGGAACCATTTGTATCTACTTCTAATTGTTCACCGACTTAATCATCCCTGGAAGGCAATAAATTTATAAAGGTTGAATTACTTCAACATCATCTGTAATTTTCTATCATTTGACTGTATTTTTCTGAATAATTTATCCTGTTAATTCTTGCTTTTATTTTTCCAGAAAATAATCTATTGTACTTTTATAAACTACTGTTTTTCCTAAGCATATGAAATCATTTGCTTTTTTCTGCGGTATGTTTCCAGTCTGTTTACCCTAGTATTTATACTATTATAAATGCAGAATCTGCAACAGGAAGTTTTCTGTAAATGAAGTAAAATACAGCCTCTCTGATTACTTAGCTGCTAATTACCAACAGAGAAATTCTTTGAACCTTAGAAAATCATAAGGTTATTCAATTCTCCAGCTCCATGGTTCATGGGAGCACACCTTGCAGGCAACAGAGAAAGAATTGCTCTGCTACTTTGCATTCGCAAAATCAATATAATCAATGAGTTTATAAAAATATAGCAACTTTTTGAATTAGCATAACACATACATTGTTTTGTGACTGTATTTTCCTGGCTTGGGTAAGGCTATCCTTTTTGAGCTGTGTCAGGATGGTGAATTATATTGTCCTTGTAGTATCCCACTGAAAAGATTCTTCAGATGTAGGCAGAAAGTTGAATTTAACTTGTTATTAAAATCCCCTGGTAGCCCACCCAGCCTTATTGCCTTATGCCGTTTTAGTTTTTAACATTTTGATCTTCTTCTTCAGTAATTGCCTAGAAATATGTTCTTGGCATATATTTCTAATTATGGGCAGAGATGCTTTACATAAATACTTATGTTTGAATACGTTGGGAACTATAGCTTTGTAAATAATGGTTCGGATTCCCTAATTGCTTTTGCTTTATATTTTTCTGTTGTCATCTTTATAGATTCTATTTTTTACTGTGCTAGTCCTAAACTTATTTGCAAAAATTGTGAATGCTCGTTGCTAAACTCATAGTAGTTTTGCCTTGCATATTTCATAGTTAATAAAATCTGATCAGTATCTAAAACATCAAGTTCTCTTTTTTCTACGTTAGATTTCTGTATATAAATATTTCACACTCTATTTGTGACTTTTTAATATTTGTTCAGTTTCTATTAATTACCTTTCTTCATTGTTATTCTTTCTCAGTGTATTAGAGTTCACTAACATAGCCTTCACAGTGTCCTAAACATGGTGACTTTATATACCTTCTGTATAGCTTTGTTCAAGTAACTGTGTGGTGAAGGACATGTTCTTTACATAATAGCATCTGATTCAACTTTCAGCAAGATGAGCAGTCATACTTCTTCCCAAGCTGGATGGTAGTAACCACTGGAGCATGATCTGATATTGTGATAGGTTCAGTGGAAGAATGCATTAATGACTAAGATATTCTGTGATGTAGTCTATATCTTGTTTATGTATAAAAGTCTTTCTTTTTAGAGTTAAGTAATGTCTAGGTCCACCAAAACTTGATTCCTTAGTTTCTGTATTTTTATATGTTGGTCTCTCTTATCGAATTTATAACCCACAATTAAATCTAAATCTCCTCCTAGCCCAGGTATTTCCAGATGAAAGGTTCCAAGAACTAGTGATCAGAAAACATTATGCAGCTGTCCTGCCTTTTTCATTTCTTTTCCACATGTCTATTCAAGTGAACATGCAAATCTGGGAGTTAGGTCTACCAGCTCCCAGACAGTGGTGAAGCTAAAACTGGCCACAACATAGGAATCCATACCGTATCCACACTGCCTAAATAATGCATCTGTTAAGGGCATGGCCCTTAACCACATCATTTCCCCAGCATTTTGAAGCTCAAGCATGGAATCCCTTAACACAACATGATAAATGCCTTTTTGTTAATTGAATTTAAAAATATGTGACCAAAGCAATAGAAATATAATCAGGTCAATAACAACTTATTTGAAATTAAGAGAATGGTAAGGTGGGTTTAGAAGTGATGAACTGATATTATGCAAAATAGTATTATTATTAGTTGTATTGTGATGATGAAGATGATGATGATATTCAAACTGAGCATATCAAAGAACAGCATAAGAGTTTTTTCAGTTTTTCTTTTCTTAAAATATAAAATAAAATAAAATAAAATAAAATAAAATAAAATAAAAGCACATGGAAATGGTGGGTGGAGAGCAAAGGACCATTACGCTTACAGTCTTCATAACAGCAATTTCTACATGTGCTTTACACAGTAATTCCCAAATCAGATGCTTATTGCATAATAAAAGCTAACTAGTGTCCCTTAAGAAATTTACAAGAAGTTCTGGTACTTGTAATATAGAACTTCTGAGGCTGGTGACAGATTCTGTGCACATTGGTTAACTTTTAAAATATCTTAACTGCTAAAACATTTGCGCACATTTCTAAGGCCAAAAAGGCGGGGAACTAGTGATGGTCCCTCCAAAATGCTATTTGGGCTGTCACTGGTAGCAGCACAGGAAAGATCATAAGGTATGAATAAGTGGTTTTGCTGCTTTTGCCAATCAGCTCACTAGCCATTCCTCGCAAGCCTCAATGGAATTGGGCTTGCATGACAAGACAGTCCAGTATGGGATGAACAACCCCTAGAACATGGGTCCTCAAATTATGGCTCGAGGGCCGGATCCGGCCCACCATGCCCATTTATCCGGCCCATTTATCCAGCCCATTTAGACCCACTGCCACCCACCTCACCCCGCACGCGAGGAGGCAGCGGTTTGCTCGCTCGGAGAAAATGATCTTCAAACGAGCAAGCCGCTGCCTCGTGTGCCCACTTCGTGGTGCATGCCTGCCCCTGCCATTCCTCACCTTGCCTCGCCATGCACCCCGCCCCCGCCTCCATGTGCATGCCACATGTACCACCCCCGCACCGGCCCGTGCGCTCCACCGGCACCACCTTTCCGTCCTGCGCCCAGCACCAGCAGCTTTCAACTGGCCCCCTGGTGGAAAAGTTTGAGGACCCCTGCCCTAGAACATAACTAAGCCACCCTGCAGGAAGTAGCCTGGATTCCAGTTCCCTGTAGCTAGTTGTCCACAATAGGTTATTGTATCATGTGAACCCAGTCACTTCTGTACACTAGCCACTGTAAGACCTCATTGCTGCTGAGTGCAGCAGCAGTTCTAGGTCTTACGTTAAGTGAAATGCATCTAGGCCAAGATGCAGAAGAAATTTTATCTATCAGCTGCTTTTGATCAGTTGTTTACTTTTGCTTACTTTGGATTGCTTTTTTATTTATTTCATTTTTATGCTGCTCAACAGCCAAAGGTCTGTTACTTGGTACTTTGACTTGCAATAGCCCCAACCAAAGGACAGAATAGCTGCAAGTTGTGGGCCAAAACTTCTGGGGGGCATCAGATCGGGAATGCAGTGCTAAGAAGAAAAGGCTGCACTTTCTTTAAAGTTAGTCGTGCTTAAATGCTATTTTAAATAAACAGGTCTTTTTAGTGAGCTACCTCCACTGATTTGAATGAGATTCAAGAGAGGCTAATTTTAGTTGGTTCAAAGTGATTGATTATAAAATGATCAAGAGGCTCCAAATGAAGCAAGACAGTTGAACAAACAGACAATTTTAAGAAGTGAGCAGGCTGATTACTCCAACATAACATGCTTAATATATTTTAGCATTATAACATGCCTGAGGTTGCTTGCTAAGTGATGGCATTCATTTGCTTCTAATTTTCCTAAAAGAAAGAGCTTAGTCTGCTGCCACACTGGTTGGGTTCTGTAATAACTCACCTTCAGTTGTATAAACATGTATCATGTTCACAACAACCATTTAGCTGTGAATTCAATATTAAAAGGAGGTTCTTGTCTTAGACTTCTCCCACTGAGGAAATGTCTGTCAAGAACTACATGGACTTCTGTTCCTCTGTATTCATAGCTTTGAAAATGATGCTGACTATAACATTGCTATCTGTATGTTTTTGTCTGTATGGATTAATATTAATATAAACTTACCCATTTTCAAGTCTATTCCTTGCACAGCTGGTGGATGTGTGGGTTTTAGCCTAGGGAGAGATGATGTCTTGTCTATGACCTTCATGGGTGTACCTGTGGACCATGGTGTTTCTTCTTCTGATTTGACTGATGACCAGAAAGTATCTCCAGGGCCTTTAGTCAAAATCCTTTCATCTGCAGGACTAGTTTTCAGAACTGGAGTTTGAGAAATAACCTGTGTAGCTTCCTTATGAATACTAAAGTTTTTATGCATTTGGTCAACGTGAAATAATGGACTTGTGGTCCAAGATGATGGCTGCATTTTGTTGCCTCTTGAAGGAGCCATATTTGAACCACTGTCAGTTATGTTTGGAAAAGGAATGTCAAGCATCTCAGTATCACTCTCAGTGCCAAGTAAGTCACTTCCATTTTCATAAAAGCATTTTTTCCCTAACACACCTGCATGGAAGAAAAATAATAAGCAAAATCAGACCGCATGTTAAAATTCATTAACAAGAACAAAAATCCCCTGCACTCCTATTATGAGAAACAGGCACTTGGAAACTATGGAATATAGGGGGAAAAATACATTTGTGTAATCCTAGGCATCACTGTTATGCAGCTAGACATAGATTTTTTTACCACTGGATAATTAACTGGTCTTCACATTGCCAGCTCTATCTTTTACAAATAATATTCTTTACAGCTCCATGCATATTTTCTCTGTAACACATAAATGCAAAGTAGACATTGTTTCCTATGCACAGTATTATGCAATTTATAGTTCAAACCTATAAAGAGAGTCAAGAGCTTTTAAGTCCTATTTTGGTATCTGGATTGTTTTTTCTCCAAAAGTACAACTGACTTTTTATGATAGCATATTATTTTTCAATGTGTACAGCTTGATTTAGTTGAGGTGTGGATTCAGTGCCCGATTACAAAAAGCTTCTACAAAGCACTAAGTCCTGTTTACTCTTCTCCACCATCACCTGCCAATATGAGCACACTTGGAAATTTCAGACCAAGGACAAAATTCAATTTCAGAGAAGTTCTTAGGAGCTACATTCCATTGATGGGTGGGACTGAAGGTAAAGATCTGGGACCAGAAGTTGCCCCCACAAAAATATAAAAAATACCAGCATATAGTTGGTTAAGCTTTTATTGCCGGTAACTATTGCTGTGAGAGGCATTCCAACATTTTAAAATGGAAAAAAATACTGAGAAATGCTGAGAAACCACAAAATAGTCACTGGGGGTAAGAGAAGTGACCAGGAGAAGGGGTGTGGCCCTGTAATTAAAAGACTAATTAATCACATGATCATTACCTTTAACTGCTAAAACTGTGCACTTTATTTCTAAAGTATGAGTTATCAATTGCTTGTTCTTACTGTGTATTTTTCTACTAAATCCTTTCCACCTTTATTCTTATGAGCAGGTCAGGGTACATAATAGCCATTTGCCTGTGTGTAGGTTCTCAGGTGCACTGATAGAAATTTATAAGCCAGAAGTGATGTGTAACAGGAGAACAGATAACAGAGGTAATATTTTCATATTTTAATTTCCAATAGAGCTTTATGGGCAGAAATTAGTAAATGCAGCTTTTGTAGTATAGAGGCAATGATGTGGGAAGATGCATCTGTCAAATTTCTATTACAGAGCTGTCAAAGCTAGATAACCACTGACAGGGTAAAAAGGTGGCAACCATTAATATTTGATTCAGCTGAAGAGAATGTATATTAAACGCATATGGCATGCCGGCTGGAACTTTATATATTTGTATAAAGTCAGATACAGACTGAGAAATTTGCATCAATTTTCTCTTTTGAAGTATTATTTTGCTTCACAATATTTTACCATTCCAAGAAGCTCTGACAATTTGGTAAGCAAAATGGAGAAAAGTTAACAGGAATTTACATGCTTAGAACAATCATTATTTGAGTAAGGCATTTTTATAGTCAGGAATTAAAAAGAAAAAAATATCTACCAAATACATTATTGGACTCAAGCAACTGACTAATCGTAGCACTGAGGCATGAAGGAGAGACCTATTCTGCAATGACATATCTTTTTGGCCCAATGTGTTGCAACTTCATTCCTTTTCCTTGATTCACATATGACAATATAAAAGATATTTCCCCATGTCCTCCTAAACTTGTTTTCTATAATTAGGAAGATGGTTTCTGCTGATGGCGATGGAACAATTCACCTCTCCTTTTAATGCTCTGTCATCTGATGCAGGCACCTCACCCTACTTCATGAGACAGCTGGTCTAGGGCTTGGATTTGTTCTAAGCAAATGTCTTCAGCACTTTCTGTCTTCTGAGGTCCAGAAGACAGGAAGATGGATGGAAGTGAAAAGGAAGAAGTATGCTGGTCTGGTTTGCTTTGCATAGCTCCACACTCCCTCTCCCCCAGTCACTAGCCATACAGTTAAAGTAGCACATTGATTCAGCTCTCAACATCTGGCACAATTGCTGATCTAAAATGAGGAGAGGGAACGAAGATGATGAATAAGGAGAAAGTTGGTTACATCTTTTCCCTCTTTGCTTCCTCAATTACTTTCTGTTTTCCTTTCTAGAGCTTCCATCCCCATTCTCCAAATAGAACAAGAACATGTTTTTTCCTTCTTTTTTTAATGGTGTTACCACTAATGCAAACTAATTCATTTATACATGAATGCAATCCAACCATTTCTCCTTGCAAACTACTAATATTTTCCCAGATCTGAATCCCTCTACTTGAGTCATTTAGATCCCATCCTGGTATTTACCCATATATCTATGTCTATATCTATATAGATACATTACTTGCAGATACAATACTGCAATACATGCAGTATTGATACTTTATTTTAATAGGGATATTTTAGTTGGTTATAATTTAGTAATATTCAGACCTGATGTTCTTTCTTAATTATAACAATTTAATGTGAACAGTTCATGTGCCATTTCTCCCTCAAGATATTATGATGGCTCTCCTTCACTTGCATTTTTGTTTCCTAATGAAATAGAGCAGAAGACATGTAGGCTTTTTATGCAATGCTAGCTACCAAGAAATATAGTTTGAGTATCCTGTTTCTACTTGGCAAGCTTGCATGATTTTAATCCACTTTAGCTTGTGGTCCAGTTAAAGATACATATATACCAAGACTGAGTTATCAGTACAGTAATTACCCTTTATGTTAACTTGCCACCAAGGATTCTCTCCTCAACTAAATATCCAGAATAGGGTTGATGAAAGGCTCCTACCTGAAGATAAAATGGTGTAAGTAGAAAATTGTCCTAAGCATTCCCAGTGGCAGAAGCATTAGCTAAACATGCATTCTTGCTGTCATTGTTTCTGTTTACATACTTACTAAAGTTAGAATACAAGCCAAATCTATTAAAAACAATTATAACTTTCTCATTAACTTCAGCAGCAGGTCAGTCAATAGGACCTTCTTATTTATTTTTAATCAGTTAATATTAATTTTAATTAGTTATTTTTAATATGTCTAATTGTTATAGTTCTGTTGGCCACAGTTATGTTTTTTCACCAGCCAAATCCTTACCTTCAACAATGTGTCAGTCAATGAAACTTTCTTTCATTTATTTTTTAATCAGCTAATATTATCTTTTACTGCTTTTTATAGCTTTGTTGGTCACAGTTAGTATGTTTTTCCACCAACCAAATCCTTAACTCACTCTCAGTGCCCATATGTATGGGTGTCACAGGACATGAGAGCCTAGATATTAAAACTGGATGAATATGCCAGCACAGTAGCCCATTCTAAGCAGATCAAGCATGCCAAATTTCAGAGAAATAAGTGGAAGTAGTTTTCCATTTCGATTTGCTTTCAAGGCAATTTGGGGAGAACTAAAAAGGGATTTATTTTTTCCTTCACTTTTCAAGTAAATAGAGCAATTTCCCTATTCATTTGAAAAAGGAAGGAAAACCGCAACCCCCCAAAATGGCTGGGGGAGTAAAAATCCACCCCCTCCCAAGGACACTGTTGCTCCCAAAGTCCTAATGAGAGGAAAGTGCTGGAGGGAGGAGTTTGACTCAGGTTCTGAGGGCTTGGTGAAACTTCACATGCCTACTTGCAGAAGTGGAGTGAGCAGCAGTTATTCAGTGAACAGGGAGCAGTAGCTACAGAGAACTACCAGCTGGTGATTCCCAAATAATTCTTGGAAACCCTGAAAACTTCTGCTGCCCTACTGCCATAGACATACAGTGCAGTAAAACACACAGGAGTTGTCTCTGTTAAGCTTTTCTTCCTCCCTCCTAAAATCACTATCAGGAGATCTCTAATAGTTATTCCCTGACTGGAAGTTGAAGGTGTCAGGTGTCAACCCGACTCCCCACCCTGCACATCCACAGCCAGAATTTTCAATCTAGCTGGGAATATTCTATTGTGAGAAAGCTGGGTTCCATATCCCTAGAGAGCTCCTAGTGCTAATAATCAGTAGGAATTGCTCATATGTTCCATTTTAAATTCCTTAACAGATTTTTCTGGTAGGAAAAAAATGAAAGAAGAGTGGGGAAATCTGAGAGGATTAGCGATGGAAGCCAACAGTATTTGGAACCCTGCAAAATTCTTACACTTCAGGACCATTTTAAGGTAAAATTTTTAAAAAGTACCCACTGTTCATGTCATTGTGCCACTTCAAACCTTAAAATGGCTCCTTAAGAATTCTAAAATTCGCTGTCTGTAAAGTCAGAAATATGGTAAACTCAGCTTTATCAGTCTATAAGCCAAAAGGAGAGAAAGAAATAGCCACAGGTGCACCATTATAATGTAAACTTAGAGGCTTGTGGACAAGTGGATTATTTTACAGAGTTAGTATCTGTATGACTCCAGAAAGCTTTTGCAAAGTTGCAATTCAATTTAATGGATACTGCTTGTAGAGACGGAAAACACAGAAATATCCCAGTAAATGAGAATTCCTGTATTGCTGGTTCACCTGAGCTAGAGGATCTTGTTCATTATATTTTGTGCTGTCCTTTATGCAAAGATCCAATGGTTTGTTCCTTAATTTTAAACTGGGGGGAGGGCAGAGTCCCTTGGATACATGTTTTAATCTACTAGTATATATGAATAAATACATGATCTGGCATGTAGCTCTCTTTGCAATTGTTGCCAAGAAGATTAGAAAGCAAGAAATAGCAGAGGTAGCTATCAATGGCAAAGGAGATGATCTTATTTGATTTTATCAGATATATGTATAATGATTTTAGATTTTTAAAGTCTGTATATTTGATATATGTATTGTGGCTATCTTTAATATTTTAATGGGGTTTGCATTAATTTTATGCAAACCCCACTGGCAAAAATGTGATGATGATGACGATGATGATGATGAAAGAGTTTCACTTGGGGCAATTTACCTGTTGATTTGCACAAGTGTTGCTTGGACAAATCTTTTCCCTGACATGTTAGGTTTCCAGAAGCAGGACATTTTTGATATGTAATATCACTTGTTTTCCGAGTACTTTAATGCTTGATTTTCCTGAATATGCAAACCAAACCTTACTGCATGCATAGGAAGTAATACAACTAATTGATCGGGGAGGATATGGTTCTAGACAGAAACTTTAATGCAATACTAACCTTTCTCTGTCTCTATCATCTCAAAAATGATATTTTTAGATCTTGCATTACCAAGTTAAATAATCAGTCAAGTTCAGTTTTTTCCCCTTATTGTTTTTACTTAATTCTATAGTACTACTTACCTACAAATGTAATCAAGATCACCAACAAAAGTATGAGAGCACAGATGCATGGAATCAGTATCAATAACAAGAGTCGAAAGTACTTGGCAGAGGCCAGTTTCTGAGAACAACCATCCTCCATATTATCTTCATCTGTTACAGGTACCTAAAACACAAAGACACAGCATTTTAAAATTCTGACATAAAGTACTAACTGAATATGGCTACTCCACAAAATAGAAATCTCACTAAACCAAAAAGACTCAGTAAAAGAATTTTACTGTTATGCTGTTTAAAAGTTATTATTGTTTAATAGTGTATTTGTTATTGGGATTTTATGTATACTGCTTTGGAATTTATTTCTGATTTAATCCATGTTTAATTATCTTTAAATAAGTAATACTTACAAAATTAATGTATTGAAATATATTTCATTATTTAAAAACTTATAAAGGAAATACAACTTAGAATTAATTTCACAACTGTGCTTCCTTTTTATAGAGGAAAATAAATTATATATTGGTTTTTATGCAAACACCTGAAACAGCTGTCCTAACGAATTTATTTTTAGAAGTGTTTAATATAGAATACATATCCTCCCCTTTAAAAAAAAAAAAAACTCACTACAGGGGTTTTTTCATGTAGTACTTGGATAGGGCAAATACTAAACATTTTATAAGTTCAATCAAATAGTAAGGTTATTAATTCCAGACAGTGTTTTTCTCTTGAAGGCAACTTATCGTTCAAGTATTCTACGGAATTATCCAATGTCATAGCTGGGAAAATGTTTTAAATTAAAGCAGGTTTATTTTGCAGTAGATGCAGTTAAACAGCAGTAGGATAAACAGCAAGCAATCTCCAGGCCCCATCCTATCCCAAATATATGGAAGTTTCCTTTAGCAGATCAAGTTCCCTATCATTTGGTTAAACTAACTAACTATCTGGAGTTGAATAGGAACTCAAGCTACTTTGTTTATTCCATATAGTTTTCCCATGTTCTAGCCATTCAACATGAAAAGAAAAAAGGAGTGTCTCCTACCCTTAACCACCACCACCCCACCAAATCCCGTCCCTTTATCTTATACCATCTCTACTGGTGGGCATAAGTTTTATTTGTTCATTTTATTTTAGGTTTCAAGATAACAAAACCATAAAAAAGAAAAATGAATGCAGACATATCTCCTCCCAGACATAAACTCAGACATCTTTACCAGTCATCTGAATATATATTCCAAAACAACTAAGAACTAAAGCCCAAAAACAAAATCACAATTTGATTAAAAATTAGTAGGGCCACCACTATTCAAATAAATTTGCTTTCTACCCATATCAAGGCTTTGGTTCACTCTTTACCAATCCTAGACTAATTTAATAAAAAAATAAGTTTGATTATGCAACAAGGGGGTAAAAACTGTCTGAAACTAATCTAACACTATTCATTAGTTCTGTTAAGAGCCAAGCTGACCTTCTGAAATAAAATGAGGCATAAAAGTTACAGATTATTTATCTAAATAATTTAATCCTAAACAGTAAATGTAATCTAAATTTAATCCCGAGTAGTTGAGAAATTCACCCAAATTGTCATGGTTAAATTCATGTGTACTAAACCAATGGAAGCATAGAAAGATTAAATTTAGTTGTTTTTGTTTTCCTGTCGTAATGGAATCAATAAAGGAAATGATCGACAATTTTTAAAGATCTTCCTAGAAAAATGAGAAAAGTCCCTATAGAAAGCAACCACTGATGTTTTATTGACTGTTCGAGTGAAAATCTGCCATTATTTCCCAACTTCTAACATTGTTGAATAACTATAGTAATTTTGGAATTGGAAGGAAATGCTTAAGGATCAGCAAGTTGACAAATGGGGATTAGCCAGTGTTCCTTTAAATTGAATGCATTAATAAAAGACAGTACATTGCTTCCATGGTTAAATTAACAACATTTGTTTGAGCTAACATAGGCAAACAAAATACAGAAATTTGACTCTGGATGCCATTCACTTTATATTTAACAAAAACAATATAAAGTGGATAGTTGTGAATACAAAACTTTTGTATTATTGCTGTAAACATTAGACACTTACCAAGTATATTTTACTTCCTATGAAAGTTAGGAAATTATGAAAACTTAGTATTCTAGGTTATTGATAATTGTTTAAAATTACTTGGGCATTATGTCTGTATTATTATTTGTAATTTTAATGGATTTTGTGGAATTTTGTATGTTTCTATCATTACAGTAATTTTAAAATGTAGGGAGAAGAAGCAACAGAATACTAGCCAATACTATGGCTTAATAAACTCTGATATTGTTGCCCACAATTTTGGACACTGCTGAATATCTATAGTAAAAACCCTAACATTCAGTATCTATGATTAAATATCTACGATGAACATGCACTCATTCTTGAAACGAATACGCAATATCTAGTTTGGAAAAAATGGGTTAACAAAGACATGTTTGGAACTTAATGAAATGAACCCTGGACAGAAATTCGACTATTTACTTTTTTACTTCCAATATTTTTCGCATGAAACATGATGCAAAGCCCAGTATGCATAGTAGTTTCTTCATTGCTTTTAACAAATTGTTACAACGTATTTTTTCTAATAAACTTTATACTTGCATTAATGAAGTTATTACTTGGGTAAATAGACATATGTATACACCGGAGTCCCGCGTACACAGTCAGGAAACCAACGGCTAAACAAGAGGAATATGAATGTGGGAGCAAGTTCTGTTCTCTTGTATTTCTTCACTATAATATGTATTCTGATACGAGAAACCCAAAACAGCTTTCATTTGTACTATATAGGTAAACACACATTTCAACTATCAGCTACACAGGGACTGTTTCATGCTATTTGTCTAGACTGTAACTTTATAGTAAAACCTGGATGCAATAACCTACCTGGTGACGTGCCACTGTCAGTCTTTTTCTCCATTCCATAGAAATTAAACATACAAATATTTCAGAAACAAACAACTGATATTTTGTAAGGTGCAATCTTATAAAAAGATCACCACAGCCTATTTGCACCTGGCATCAGCTGAATAAACTGTGTCCCCCTGTGTTAATCAATACATTGCAAATTGAAACAAAGATGTTACTGTTCCTACATCTTAATTCCAGTGAGTTTTCATTTATAATTAACACTTGCTGTTTGTTATTAGATTGCAATTAGTATCATACTGCTAAATTAAAATAAAATATTATTTTACAAGAAATATTTCTTTGTACAGCTAAAATAGTTAAGAAAACTGTTCATGACAAGCTGTTTTTCACATACTGTAATAGTTATCTTTACATCTGTTATTAATGATTCCCTTCCTTTCAAATATTTCATTTTATAAAACATAAACAGATGCCTGAATAGGTAACCTTTTATAAACTGCTGAGATTAATGTAATTAAGAAAAATACAGAGGTAGTGATTTGCAAATTCAATTGATCCAAAACAGGGCAGCAAGATTGTTAATGGGGACTGGCTTACAAGAACGTATTACACCAGTCCTCTTCCAGCTGCACTGACTGCCGGTTGAAGTCCAGGTCTGATGCAAAGTGCTCATGTTAACATTCAAAGTCCTAAACAGCCAAGTGATCTGAAGGAATGCCTCATCCCATATGTACCAACCTGGACACTAAGGCCAAATTTGGGGGTCCTTCTTTGGGAGCTCCCTCCAAAGGAAGTATGGAGGGTGGCTACTAGAAGAAGGGCCTTTTTGGCTGTGGCACCCAACTGCAAAATGAACTCCCCAAAGAGGTGTGCCTGGCACCTACTCTACTCATATATTTTTTCCAGTTCCAGACCTTTTTAATTTCCTAGTATTTTAACAGTTAATTTTTAAATTTTAGTTTTAATATTGCATTTTATTCTGTACTGCTGCTATACCTGTGTGCTCATTCAGTTGCAATTGCTGTGGTTTTATTGCTATGTCTAAAGTTATAACAAAATTGTTACATCGTATGTTAATTTAGGTTTTTTTTCCCTCCATCTCTTTCGTTAACTGCCCAGACAGCCTTGGCTATTGGGTAGTATAAAAATTAAATAAATAAATAACTCTTAAGAGGCATCACCTGGTCCCCTGGTAATCACCTGGTAATTTTCATGATTGTCAGTCTTTCCTTGCAATATTTGGCTACATGGGAGCTGTGTGAGCATTCTGGCACATATTCACAATCCATTGGGAACAACAAACTGGCCTAACATGCCCAGCAACCATTCCATATGAAATTATCATCATCAGCATCCCTATACTCTCCCATAGCTGAAGCTCTCTGGGTGGTTCTGAAGCTCTCTGAAATGAGATTTGGGTGTGCTCCTAGGTGTAGTATGCACCTTTGCAGCATGCTGGGATTCCATGGCAAATTCAATTGGTTTGTTGAAGAGTGAATATTTTCAAAAGTAGCTTTAAGTTGCAACCTCCATGTAATTACAAATTTGTGCCTGTAAAGGCACAATTTTATTTAGCTGACTTTGCATTCCATCCTTCCTCCTGGATACTTAAAGGGGAATTGTAGACTCACAGTGTGATGAGGTAGATTACATTGAAACAAACCACCCATCAACTTAAAGAGGGATTTGATTTTCAGCATCCAAATCCAACAGTTTGGTTACCATACATCCTGGAAAAGAACATTAAATACTGATATACAGCTATTGAATACAAAAATATAAGCAGTGAATAGATTAGAAATTGTATTTATCTCTTGCTCTCTCAAAGTATTGAGTACTACGACTATCTAGTCTTTTGCAGATCCCCTACTATGCATCTTTTGGAATCTGAACATGAAAAAGAAGTACAGTAAGATTAAACAGTTGTACTGCTGATTTGAAGCATATACCATGGTGCAAGAAAGAAGCAGGAATTCGGAGTGTTCTTGAAACTGATCTAATAGTGTTAAACTACACTAACTTTTAAAATGTTCATTAATTAAATAAGAAATTAGTAATAAATATTATGACATTTAATAATTGCATTTTTTTCTCATTGATGTGCTCCTGTGTTTTCTTCAACAAGTCCAAGACAAAGTTGGACTGTTGGCTCATCCATAAACAGCCCTACTGTCCTGCTAACATGCTGTTCTCAGGATTTTCTGTCAAGATGACTACCTAGACCAGGGGTCAGCAACCCATGGCTCCGAAGCTGCATGTGGCTCTTTCATCCCTCTGCTGCAGCTCGCTGTTGCTCAAAATATGCGTCACAACCGCCAAGGTGCGACACCCCCGGCACGCGATTTATTGAGCTTTTTGACCCCCAGTAGGCCCAAGAAAAGAAAAGTTTCAGAAGAAAACAGATCATGTAATGGTACGTGGGCAGATAAATTTGCTTTCACTGCTGATGAGACTGGTTTACCAGTATGCTTAATATGTGGTAAGAAATTGGCTAATAACAAAAAGTCGAATGTTGCAAGACATTTCTGGAATAAACACACAGCCTTTGCTGAAAAATATCTGGATAGAGATGAGAGAAAAAAAGCCATTTCAGAACTGATGCAGAAGGCTGATCTGAGCAAAAATCATTTCAAGAAGTGGATTAAGACTGCAAATTCAACTACATATGCTAGTTTTGTGGCCACTCAGGAAATAGTCAGGCACAGGAAGCCGTTCACAGATGGAGATTATATAAAAGAATCATTCACTGATTTCATAAATGCAACACACTATCGTTTTTTTATACATAGCATAAAGGTAAAAAATGATATATGCAGGTTATCTTCAAAAGAGTTTTGCAGCTCTCGGTGTTTTCTTTTCTGTGGGAAACGGGTTCAAATGGCTCTTTGAATGTTTAAGGTTGCTGACCCCTGACCTAGACCATGGGTCCTCAAACCACAGCCCGCAATTCCCATTTATCCAGCCCACCATAGAGGTTCTGGACTTGCCACACGTGTGTGTGGTGAGGCGCTGGCTCGCTCACAAGGAAATCATTTTGGACTTGCTCAGAGAAAAGGATCTCCTTGCGAACAAGCCGGCCCTTCGCCATGCGCATGATCTCTGCGCATGCACGCCCCTGACTCACCGTGCATGCATGTGTGTGCGCACCCCCGCCCCAGCCTGTGCCCCCCCCCACCCGCATGACCTTGGCGGCCCGCACCCAGCTCCAGCACCTTTCAACTGGCCCCCTGTTCAAAAAGTTTGAGACCCTGACCTAGGCAGTGGCAAGGCTCAGGCCCCACAAATGATCCAGCTATACAAATCCATTCTTGGGGGCACCCAAAGCAAGCTGGGGGAAGGTTCTGTTCCTACCACGTAATTTTAAACAAATTTACGTTTTATTTTGCTTCCCTTTGCTTAATATTGACTGAACTTTATAGGCCTAATCATTGAAAGCTCAGCAGGAGTAAAGGGTCTAGAAATGGCAGAAAAACCTCCTAACTAGAGTTTAGTTTCTTGTACCACCAGAAATAATGTTGTTTCATCCCCTGCCATCCTAGATGATCCACTGGAGAGCTTTATCGCCCTGCTCCATTATATCACTGCTATTCTCTCATCAATAAAAAATAGCGGTGACCAACAGAGTTCATTCAATCAGTAAGAAGCAAGGACAGGTTCAGGTGAAACACAAGTTTCTGATTCAGAAGACTGTGAACAGGGAATGCAAACAGTTCTAAAAATGGTGCAGGCCAATAATATCACACTGCAAATGAAGCTGTCTGACTTAAATGGGAGATCCCTCAAGAACAATTTAGGAATAGTTAGAATAAAAGAATGGAAAAAACAGGGTCTTGGGAATACCAGATGGGCATGCCTGAGCAATGGTTCATGCATAGCATTGCCCTATTCCCCCTTCTCAAGATTCAATCATGCAGAAGCAATCAAAATAAAATTTCTGCACTTCCTCACTAATGGGGATATTTTAAAATAAGCATGTGAAAAAGGAACATTGCACTGGAGTCTAATCTTATATGTGTTATGATCTTTCTGGACTACTCAAAATACTTGGTGGAAGCAAGGCAAATGCTTACAGGGTAAAAGGCATGTGATCATACTATGGACTACCTCCTTTATTTTCCTAGTGTGTTGTTTTCAGTTGATGACTGTTGTCATCCCTTTGAGGGTAAAGTTTTACGGAAAGGAAGCTATAGAGAAGAAGTTTCCAGTTTGGATTCAGCTCTTTACATAGACAGATGCTTCTCCCTCAACTTTGGTAGAAGGTTATTTAGAGTTCATACTGTTCTATAAGGTTTCAATAAAAGAACTGCACTTCAAAGGATTGTCTTGAGTTTGATAACCAGAAGGAATGAGAGAAGGGACCAGCTCACAACATTTGCAATGAAAATACAAAGAACACTTATAGCTTCAGGTCATATGACGGCAAATTAGATCCTGATTTTGGGTATTGAGGAAACTCCATTGCTATTTTATGGAGCCTTCTGTTTATGTTTCCTTAAAGTTCAGAATTCAGTGGAGAAGTTGTGGGTTCACAGATGAACTGGAAGTTGGGAAATCCCTTCTTTTGAAGCAGTTTGAAAGGTTCAGTGATACATCAAGAACATACAGTGTTTATTTTTCCTTATTTTATCATTCATTGTTGCAGTTCTTTTTGTCTGTTGGCTGGATAGTTGCATGTTTATTAGATTGTTTATTGTTCTTTTGGTTATTCTATTCTATATGTTTCTTATGCATGTATAGTTTTTAAAAATATAAAATCTATGCTGTTCTCCTAGTACACTCTTTGAAAACAGGGACTCAGTATATGACACACTGTATTTTTTCTGTTGTTCTGTGTAGTCTTGATTCAATTCTACAGTACCCTACACTGTAGTTTTCACTAGACTTCTTGATGTCAACTATTTGAGCCCTTTCTAATGTTTTATTCAAGTGACAGGCATCTGTGCTGTTTTCCATTTTACTTTTCTGTCTGTCTGATTTAATTGTGCCTTCTGTTTTTCCATTATGTACTTGAATGTGCTCTGCAATGGAGACGTCTTGTCACTGGACCATGAACACACATGAAACCATAAATGTTTCACTGTCATTATGCACAGTAATGAAATGCTGATAAAAAGTTGTATTAAACTTCATTATTTCCCTGTACCACTCCGTTTAGTTCCAACTTCAATACACATGTCATATCACTATAAATATCATTACCTGGACTGGTTTGGGTACAGGCAACAAATGCAAACAGGTGCTTACCAAACTTAAGATGTTGAAAGGTGGTTTAGCTTTCTTGCAAGAAACCCATCTACTTCCTAAAGAAAAGTATAGAATGTTTAAGGATAAGGTAGGTAAAGTGTATGCTAGTGGCAACTCCAAAAATTTACAAGGAATACCTATGCACATTCACAAGCAAATCTCAGTCTTAGTGTTACACTCAATAATAGATTTTAAAAATGCTATCTTTTCTTGGTTGTTAAAACTGCAATATCAGCACTGACTCTGTTTTATACCGTCCCAACCAAGATTCTTCTCCAATATTTAATGCTTGCATTTGCCTCTTGCCTTCTATAGCCTTCTATGGCTGATAATCAGAGGAGATTTCAACAACGATCTATGTCCAGTTCTGGATAGGAAAATATCCCATGTAAATTATTCTCCACAGTCTGCTCTACCCTCAGAGCTTATGCTGGATCAGACCAAGGGTCCATCTAATGAAAGCATTTTGTTCACACAGTGGCAGGACAGCTGCCCACAGGATCCCACAAGCAGGATATGAGTACAACAGCAACTTCCTTCCCAAGTTCCCCAGCAACTGCTATGCATGAATTTGTGCAACACTGTTTTAAAGCCGTCCATATTGGCAGCCATCTCTGCAACTCATATAAGAGAACTTCTTCATTTATCTATGTGAAATACTTCCTTTCATGTGTCCTGACTCTCCCACCAGCTTGATGGGATGACTCCAGGTTCTAGCACTATGAGAAAGAGAGAGAGAAATATCTCCCTCTCCACTTTCTCCACACAATGCAATATTCTGTACACCTCTTATCATGTGTCCTCTTATGGACCTTTTTTCTTAGCTAATTTGTCTCGACTTTAGTAACTTTTTAGCAGGATTTGTCCTTCTGTGCACTTACTAATTCTGTCTTTAATTATACTTTTGTAAGGAGTAAATCCCAGTAGTGACAATACAGAGGCAAAGTACCAAGCAGTACAGTTTAATTCATTCTTGCAAGAGCAGGCGCCCACCTCACAGGTAGCGCATCAGTTACACACAAGACATTGCTTTTTATTCCCTTTTCCCAGCTCACAGACCCTTCTTCTTTTCTCCCATTGGCTGGGCCACTAAGAAGGTACAATCTTCTCCGTCTGCCTACATCATACTACCCCTTGATATGCTCCTCCTCCCGCACATACATCCCATGTTCATGCGAATGAGCCTATTACCTATGAGAGATGTGTCAGTTACTATTCATGAACCTATTAAGCATGTGCAGTATCTTCAACAGGTCAGAGTGGCCTTGCAGATTCTTACTAACACCAACTTGCTTCTTAAAACTTGTGGGAGGAAGAACAGGCCTTCCTCCAGGCTCATTACAGCCAGTTATAAAAGGTAATCAATTTCCTGCTCTCTTTCACTGAAGGTGACAGTTTTACCACTGTCCCCCAATTTACCCTCTCTGGCATTTTTCCGGACTTTGATGTAAGAAACACTATTACTTTTAGTACAACTATTTACATGATTCTATCCTCAGGCCCTTTGGCCTTAAGGAACTTCACTGATCCTACCCTAACCCTGTATTTCAACCTTTCTTTGGTTTTCACCTTACCACTTAGTAACAGTAATATTTCATTTCTCACACTTTCAAACAATTTACCCAGAACACATGTTTGCCTGTAATTTTCCCCATTGCCCCATATCCTTTTTTAAAGAATCTGCATTGCACTGGGCATTTTCCAGTTCTCTGGTACAGAGGCTGATATTAGGGACATGACACACATTTTTTGTTAAAAGGCCAACACTTCCTCTTTAAAAACTCTAGGATTAATAGCATCTGGGCCTGTTATTTATTATTTTTCAGTTTGTCAGTATGGTTGAAAATTTCATCTTTTGTCACCACTACCTACTTTACTTCCTCAGACTCCATTCCTGAATTCCTGAGTCAGGAAGAGGACTCTGTCCTGTATCCTCTGCTGTGAGGACAGATAAAAATAATTCATTCAGCTTCTCTGGAATATCCTTCTCCTACTACTCCTTCAACTCCATTATCTTCCAATGGTCCACTGCCCCCCTACCTAGTTTTTTGCTTCTGATATAAAGAATCCTTTATTTCTGGCATTGATATTGTTAGCAATATGCTTCTCAAAATGCTCTTCCCCCTTCTCTTATCATCTGCTTGCATCTCCCATATGCAAACTTGTGCTCACTTTTGTTTCCTCATTTGTGCACGACTTTTCTGAAAGAAGCCTTTTTTTCTCTAATTACTTCCCTGACAATGTTTGTTAACCATGCTGCCTACCTCCTGGACTTTGTGCCAACTTTCCTAACTTGTATACATGATATACAAATATATACAGCCTGGTTTTTCTTCCCAGGAACTCAAGGAAGCTTACATAATTCTCCAGTTACCCAGTCTCTCTCTCCCTCTCCCTCTCCCTCTCCCTCTCTCTCTCTCTCTCTCTCTCTCACACACACACACACACACACACTGCCCTGCATACAGGCAGCTATGCTGGCCAGCCAACTGCACTCTGATGCTTTCCTGCATGCCACACTAACAATCTGGTACATCCAGATTTGAACATTGCTGGATGGCCTTTTCTCTGGAGGCAGTAGGCTGAGTGATATAGCCTCACTTAATTAACAGGAAAGTCTATAAATTCCTCTCCTTTGTGAATCTACAGAAGAATTATCAACTACCAGCACCATCAAATAAAACATATGTTCCATTCCATGTATAGTCTAGCAACTTTAAGTTCTTCAGAGCCCCCAAGGATCTGATTAGCTCTATGCAGGCAATCAAATAATGAATTCTTATTTACAAAGAAACTCTAAACATAATAAGGAACTAGAATGCTACATCCAACCATACCAATAAGAAGGTAACTGTATCTTCTATATGGTTTCTATCCCCTGATCTGGAATAGTACTGCTTTTCAAGGTTGCTTTTCAAGGTATACTAAGCTGCACAACACCTGCTTTAGAAAAACCTATCAGCCTTCAATAAATGATGGCACCATGGGTGACCAACACATCCTTCATGTGCATGATGCAGACACGTGCAACAATGGTGGCTCCCTTCTAGGCAGGTGTTAGTAGGCACATCAATTTTGTGTTGGATTGTTCAAGGATGTTCATATTGCAAAGTTATATTGCCAAGCTCTGGAAGCTATCCTTTGGCAACTATCAGAGGAGTCTATGTACTTTCATGATGGCCAAGAGACTCCTATTAGAGTTAGAGGACATGTCTTCTTCAGTGGTGGCTGAAAACTTTACAATACTGGCCTCTTTTGAGAGAATATACTTTCTGACTGAAGGCATTTAATAAAGATGCATAAACTGAGATTTCCACTTGTATCCTTCTTTTCTGACAAGACACAAAAGGTCAGCGAACTTATTTTATTATCTATATATTCCTTCCCATTCTTCTGCACCAACTGGACATTGTTACTTTGTTAGCTTGGCTTTGTATTTGTAATTGCTCTAGTTCACCATGTATCTACTAGCAGCAGATCATGCTTTAATGCCGTACATTGATTAGTTAGCCCTAAGACGTTCTATATGGTTTGTAACAACTGTTCCTCAGTTTGGAAGAAACCTTCTTTACTGCTGCTCTGGATTGCATCCTGAAGTCATGCCTTGCAATGTTTTTTCACCAGCTCATTTCACCAGCTCATTTTTCTCACCATTCCACCAATCTCGTCCAGCCATCACATTCATCCCTCACCCTTATACTGCTAAGCACTGACCCCATATTTATTAGTAGGTCATTGTTTATGTTATGTTAAATAAAAATGAAGATTTGAGTTGGTCAGAAGTGGATAGGACATGAATTTAACTGCCTGGACTAAAACACAACCCAATACGCATTAAAGCCAGAACACCCACAGCTCTTGCTTTCTTTACCCATTTTCTTCATTCCCCCTTTTAATTTCTCCTTCCTTGTTTTGGTTAGAATTCTGAATGTATGGGCACCTGAATACATTGTCTTTTAGTGGTCCTACTTTTCATGGAAGACTTTAACTTAAACTTCGTGAATCATTACATACCTAACATGTTCTTTGTTATGCTAAATTTTTCGGATGCATGCTATGCATTTATTGTATCAAGTAGTTTGAGCAGTAAATAGGCTGGCAAGATGCAAACCAGGAGCTGATTCCCCAATGAAGAAGGAAACTTGGCAGTTGCTATTTATCCCTCCCATAACCAACTCCCAAATCCCTTTAGAAGGCTCCTGTTCTACTTGCTGTGTAGCACATTTATAGACTAGGAAAAATACAGTATGACATGGGCAAATTGTAACTGAAGGATTTGAAAGTACTTTCAGCTCAGAAATGAACACCAATTAACAGATTCAAAATCTGCCAAATCAAACCATGGGAACAACCCTCAAATTTGCATTTCAAAATCCTAATTTGCAAATAAGTGTGATTTCTCCTTAAACATTTATTTTTAGATTTCCAGTTGACCAGTAATTAGTTGAAAAGGTCTAGGAAATGTAAAGGCCCAGAATCATTGTACTACATGTATTATACATAATAACCATATTATCTAGCATAATAAGATGCTGTAATATTAAAGACAATGTGTTTCTGTCCCTCAGTAATTTAAGCTCTGCACACTCACGTCTATTGTCATGCTAAATCGCACTACCCCCACAATGATGTGAAACAAGTATTTTTTTAACTATTCCTCCACAAAAGGGGGGATTCTGACATGAAAACCGAAGGAGAGAAAGCTTAACTCCTCCGCTCCAACACTGTCACAGTCCCAAATTTGAGGTGAGGATACTTATAGTTATACTTTACAGAGCCTTCCTATAGCTATGCTAGGAAAATGAATGAGCTGCAAGAAGCAGCCACAGAGGCTTTTTAAAGTATTGAAAAGCAAAAATAAATAAAAGCCACCTGATCTTAAAATAAAGTAACCCCTTCCCTCCAAAGATATGCCATACTATTTCACAGCAGGTGCTCCACAAGACAAGAAGGGGGTTGTGGAGAATCCCATTTCAGCTGGAATCTACAGGAATTGCACCACAAAAGTCTCTGAGATATTTGCCAGGCTTGTTTCTCCCTCAAGCTTTCTCTACACTACTGCTGTGCTTTGCACAAAGCTCCTCAAAAGTTTAAATAGGGCCAGTGTAGTGTAGTGGTTAAAAGTGTGGCTCTGGGACTCAAATTCTCTGGGTTCTTGTCCTCACTTAGTCCTAACTTAGATGGAGCTTACTGGGTGACTTTGGGCCTGTCATAGACTCTCAGTGCAACCTACCTCACAGGGTTGTGAGGATAAGACTGAATCAGCCCACCCAAGCTCTGTGCCAATGACTGAATCTCCTGCCTGTGTCACCTCCTAGCAACCAGCACACTTCCTCAGCATCTGGCAGACTACTCAGCTCTCACTGGACCCCAAACCTGACTCCTTTTTTCCCAGTGGCAGATTGGAGCTCTCTTCAGCTTCTGCCCCCAGTTCTGCCCATTACTGTGTTATCTCCCCATTCCCACAGGAAGGTTGAATGTCACCCCCATTCCCCTGGGGCAACTCTGCTCATTCCGTAGACTTCCCCTGGCCTTGATTTGATACTGTCATTTGCTGTCATTCCAAAATTGCTTCATCTTCATTGTCTGAACTCCCATTCCCATCAAATCTATAAACAGGCCACAGTCTTTCTGGCAGCTTTTCCCTGTGCTTGTGCATAACACAAATTCCTTTCTCTTTCCCTCCCCTTGACAAAATGGTGATACCAGCATCTAGCACATAGAAGCATTTCAACACTTCAAGTTCTCCTGGAAAAAAACGTGATTTGCAAATACTGGCAAATGAAATGTGCATCTTCAAATGCTATTACAATAACAAAACATATCCTTGTATTATGAAGAAAGTAGTCTGCAAGCATTGACAAATCCTTTATGGATCTAATCAAGAAGGACTGTACAAGTAGCTTTTCCCAACAAGTACCTTCACCCAACATTCTCATTCCAAAAATCCTCGGCTCCTGTAACATCAACACAGAAAGTTTCCCTGTTGGCAACAGCATCCTCAAGTAAACAAACACTGCAAATAATTGTATCCAAAAATACTCAGTAGCTTCACAAGAAGACAAGATGACACTAAAGATCAGGGGAGAAATCCCCAAGCTCTTGCAAGAGCAATAGATTCTTTTGGGATCCCACTGTCAATAGCTGAAAATGTGCATTGACAGGAAGTTTTTAAATAAGCAAGTCCATCTTACTATTTGCCCAGCAGACATTTTCGAAGCAAGCCTCTGTTAACATCAGAATATGAATACATAATAGAAGCAGTGCAACGGAAAATCAAGGAAGCACTGTGTGAATACTCCTCCTCCAGTTCAACTTGGGACTCTGAACATGCAAACACTGTAAGTTCACCATCAAGTCAGGCTCATTTCACTTTCTATCCTCTCCTATCCCAGTTAAACTTTTTTTAAGTTGAGGAAAGGTGACAACTTGCTGATGAAGAGACTGGAGATTGTAGAAGCTTGCTTATCTTTGTGATATTTTAGTTTCCCTAATAAAACTGTTACATCAATACAGT